ATAAATAAAAATAAAATTTATTTTTTATTTATAAAATAAATTAAACAAAAAAATTAATTAATTTAAGCTTGAAATAAATAAATAGCCACCAAACAAATATATATTAATTTAGAAACAAAAAAATATAAAAATAAAAAAAACGAAAAAATAAAAACGAAATAAATAAACAATAGAGTAAACCCTTAACCACTAAACATTTTAAATACAATATAATAAAAAACAATAAAAAAAATTAATTAAAAATAAAATAAAATAAAAATAAAATAAAATAAAATAAAATAAAATAAAATAAAATAAAATAAAAAAATAAATAAATAACCAACCTCCAGCTGGGGTGTACATCCGGCCACATCTCTTCTGCTTTTTGCAGCCTTTCAGAAATCCTAAAAAATAAAATTAAAATATTTCGGGTGTATGTACACTGAGCAGAGTCAACAACAAAAAAACAAAACAACAAAACAAACAAAATAATATAATTATTTTAATTATATTTATAATAACAAACAACGACGAACACAAACCAAGCAACAAAAACCAAAAAAAAAACGAAAAAAACGAAAAAAAAAACAGAGACAAGCGAAACAAAAGCAAGAAACAACAACAAAACAAAAACAAAACAACAAAAAGAACAAAAAGAGTTTATGTTTTACCCCTTAATTAAATTTAATTTATTTTTGTTTATATTACATATATCTGAACTCAAAACACCAAAGAAAGCCACCGCCTCTTCTGCTGAAGGCAGCGGCAAAAGAATGGCTGTGGGGACGGAGAAATCCTTAAAAACTAAAAATATATAAATAAATTATTTTATTTTATTTTATTTTATTTTGCTTTATTTATTTTATTCTATTTATTCTACTTTGTTTATTTTGTTTATTTTATTTGTTTTCCCTCTTGTTTTATTTTGCTTATTTTATTTTCATTTTATTTTATTTTTATTTTATTTTATTTTTATTTTATTTTATTTTTATTTTATTTTATTTTTATTTTATTTTATTTTTATTTATTTATACTTTATTTGTAAATTAGGGTAATCAACTCAGTTTAGTACGGAAACGTAATAAACCAAATACATACATGGAGATATAAAAAACAAATTAATAAATAAACAAAAAACAAATAAATAAATAAACAAAAAACAAATAAATAAATAAATAACGAAAGAGAAGATAAAGAAACAAAGAGGAGAGCAAGGAAGCAAATAAAGAAACAAAAAAAAAACAAAAAAAAAGACAAAAAACAACAAAACAAATCAATCACCAATAGAAAGAAGCAGACAAACACAAAAAAACCAAAAAAAAAAAAACAAAAATAATAAAAACGCGAAACCCTAAATCTCTATACAGTAAACAACCAAACCCCCTAGGGTTTAGGGTTTAGGGTTTAGGGTTTAGGGTTTAGGGTTTATGCTTACAAAACCCTTTTTTTTTAAGTGGAGGGAACGCATACGTCATCGCAATAGTATAACCATGCGGATCGAAATCCACCAACAAAAAAATATTAATTTTTTTTTTTTTTAGTTTTTTATGCAGCTGCCATAGAACACGCCGGGCGTTTATATCTAAAAATAAATAAATATAAATATAAATATAAATATAAATATAAATGTATATATAAATATAAATATAAATATAAATATGAGTATAAATATAAATATAAATATAAATATAAACATAAATATAAATATAAATATAAATATAAATATAAATATAAATATAAATATAAATATAAATATAAATATAATATAAATATAAATATAAATATAAATATAAATATAAATATAAATATAAATATAAATATAAATATAAATACAGGTATATATATATGTTTGTTTATTTATTAGTTTGTTTATCTATATTGCTTATTGGTTGCTGCTGCTGCTGCTGCTGCTGCTGCTGCTGCTGCTGCTGCAGCAAGTGAAGGGTGGGGTTGTTGTTATCTAACCTGGGAATCCTTTGCCGGTGAGGAGAATACAGGGGCCGTAGCTGCAACAAAAAAAAATAAATAAAATAAATAAAATAAAATAAATAAAATAAATAAAATAAGTAAAATATAAAAAATAAATAAAATAAAATAAATTAAATAGATTGAAAAAAAGATTAAGATAAATGAACAAATAAAAAGGATAGAAGGAGATAATAAATAAAGAGAATAAAATAAATAAAATAAAAAAAAATAAAAATAAAAAATAAATTTATTTATTTATATTCTGCTTACCGTTCAATAAACTGCTGCTCTAAGAGAGAATAGAAAACTGTCTCCTTCTCTACCACCTGCATAAGCATATAAATTATATTTTTATATTTATATTTATATTTATATTTATATTTATATTTATATTTATATTTATATTTATATAAAATGCATTTATACGTGTGCATATACATAAAATAAATATTAAATGTATTTGTTTGTACATATATATATATA